GTTCACTCTCTTATGTTGCGTATCGAACCTATCAATCCATTTCATTTAGATAAAAAAAATGACAAAGCAAGAAGCTTTAATATGTCATGTTAGCCTTTCCTTCCCTCTTAGCATACTAAATTATATAGCCGGCTAATCTACAGTTTGCAACTAGCACTGAACATATGATGACATGGAGAGCTAATATACAGTTTGCAACTAGTACTGAACTGAATTTCTCCATTTCAGATCATAGATCTAAAGGGCATCAGCGATTATAGATACAGCAAAAATGTTAAAAGATTTTATTTTATGGTTCAAAATTTATAGTTTTTCAAAGCACAATTAATCTATATGGTTAAAATTTGATCTGAACACAAAACTATATTGGAAGCACAATGAAGAGCAATTGGACCATGCACAAGGGCCAATATCCTTGGCCATTAGGTTTTAAGGAGAAGCATATAATGGTTCAACATAATCTCACGAGACAATAAAACTTGGTAAATACAGGCTAACAACTTCAGAAAAATAGAAAAACAAGAAAATCACAAACTCAAATCAGTATCCGGTTTCAAGATCAAGTATTTCAGCTTATGACATACATGTGTACCAACCAAGGTGGAAGAATGAAAGCTGCGTTTCTGGCATTCAGAGCTACACTCAATTTCACCACACAACAAAATTCCATCACGTTACAGCAGTGTGTGCCTATATACATAATACTTGATGTAGTTATTTAGATGTTATTAAAGGAATAAATCCTGTTCAAATAGCTCATCAGAACATTTTTCCTGAGATTAGGAAGCTTCCTTTATAACCCCAAATTCTACTTCTTTCCATGACCCAGTTCTTAATGAATACACCTCCACTCCAGCAACATAGAAATTGTCAAACTTGATTCGAATATTATAAATATAAAACTTAGCATTGTGAATTCTCACTATCCTGTAATCCTTATCTACAGGACTGAACCCAAATCCCCATCCAAAAACGCCATAGCCGCCATCATCATGTGTTGTTCTGGGTACTTTCCTTGTCTCTCTAGTCGCTGGGTTCAACAACAAAAGCGAAGGAGGAGACCCATGCTCATTATAACCGAGTAGCACACAAAGCAAGCCATTGCAGGAACCAATGATGCCACAAACAAGCGTTAAGGAATCCATCACGGGCATTCTCCAAACTTCCAGATTGTCCATCTTATAACGAAGCAAAGATAAGGGTGCGAATCTACGGTTGCAACCGAATGCATGGAAGATAAGAAGAGGGTTTTGAAGAGATTCTTCCAATATTTACACACGGATTGAAATCGAATGAGGGATTTAATAGGAAGCCTTTTGAGAATCTCTATGATCATCTCGGGGACCAGAAAGGGATTGTCGCCTCCAATCGCCATCTGCTTGCTTGAGGGAATTAGGGATTACAGTATTCCCACCGATAAGAAGAGGACTGAATGATGGAGTGGAGGTGGAGTGGACGGGACGATTGCATTTGATTTTCCATGATTGGATTAGTTATATACTTTTTGGCCAGAATATATTAATAATTAATAATATTAATAATAAAATAAATAATATATAAAAGATCAGAAATCTTCGTTCAAAAAGAAATCAGAAATCTGGATCTAATCAACAAACAGATATTTTAAATGTATATAAGATTTTGTTTTTTTTAATTGAGTCTATTAATTTAGGTCAAATTGGACCTTGAATAAGTCCAAAAATTTTTAAATTGAGTTTAAGAATTGGAAAATTTTTAATAACCGAAATTATTCTTGGCTTGTATATTTTAAATGAACATTAATTAATCCCTTTTCCCTTTTATATCTCATAATTTGTATTTTATTTGAATCAACTCTAAATTATGATGCCTTTGTTGTTGTACCAACTCCTAAACTTTCTTGTTCATGTTGATGTTATTATCAAGATCTATCTTGTTCATTTCATCATGTATTATGGTGTTGTGTTGCCTAAAAGTTTAAATTTTTTAAGGTAGAAATTAAAATTTGCTTATAATAAAAATAAAAAATGAAAAAATTCTTATAATTTGTGTATTCTGTCTAGTTTAAGTAGATCCTCATATTTTTATACACTTTAGGAATTTAGTTTTCTTTTTTTTTCCAAGATGGAAAACTTCTTCCAGTTTGTTTTCCCAACGAATCTTCTACTTCTCATTGCCAATATTATGCCTTCCTATTAATTTTGAATTATGATTACTGTTTAACAAAAAAAAACAGGAATTACTACAACTTTCTCCAAATTCATATATTGCTGATAAAACTTACATTTGATATGCATGCAGAAAAAAAGTTAATACTCATTCATAATGTTTGTAGGTTGGGCTTCAATCTATTTACAAATAAGCATTCTTCACAAAATTATCACTTTTATATAATAAAATTAAAGTGTTGCTTCCTTTTGCAATTGAAAATATTTCTAACAGGCCTGTGCGCGCGCGCGTGTATACCCAAACAACATCACGAACCCTATATACTTCGTTAGAGGAGATCAGACGCTTAACTGCAATGTCAGCAGCATGACATCTCTAGGTTTAATTTATTTGCTCGGAATGTGATGTGTTTCGGGCTCCGATTCGGTCGTTGACTTTTATTCATGTAGGAAACACAAACGATTTATAAAGTAAAAATGCACACAAGTGGAACCAAAATGTTCAAAGCTTTTGCAGGCTCGCTTCAATCGAAAGTGTAGGGGAGTGAAGGGAAAATAACAATTAATGCCTCGTTTGGTATGTTGGAATTGATTTTAATGAAAATGAATATAAAAATAGATATAGAAATAGATATAAAAGTAAAGTTTAAAAATACGCTTGGTATGTTGATGAAATCATGATATAATTGTCATTCAAAAGACCAAAATACCCTCCTTAAACTACATCCAGTCTTACCAGAAAAACAAACCACCATCTAGTTTCAATCTACCAAATTTCATGTACCAAATGAAAGCAATGAAATTTGTTTTTCTCAAATCAAACCCACTAATTCTCTGATGCAAAATTGCAATTGCAATCCAGAATTTGTAAAAAAAAAAATATAACCCCCATCCTATCATGCTTTGCTCTTCAATAATGATGCTTATAGGTGTTCAAAATTTGAGTGAAGCTCTTGTTGAGTGGAACTCCCCCTCAATCGATTGCTACAACATCTACCACCTGTTTTGGCCTTCTTCCACTATACAGTTCATCACTTTGATGCTGCTTCTTTGGAGGCAGATCTAGATTTTGCTCAACAATAATGGCTTGGAAAATGGAATCAACAGTGAGGGGGGAAGGTGGTCAAAAGGTCGCCGATGGGGAGTGTGGAAAAGGTCTCCAGTAGGAAGGGGGCGAAGGTCGCCTGCGAGGAGTAGGGAGAAGGTCACCGACGATGAGGGGGAGAAGGTCAAAAGGTCATTGGCCGAGAGTGGGAAGAAGGTCGCAAATAGGAAGGGGAAGAAGGTCGCCTGCAAAGGGTGGGAAGAAGGTTGCCAACGGGGAGGGGGGAGAAGGCGGGTAGAAGGTCGGACTTTAAGGAGGACAATGAACAATACTAACTGAACAATGGGGGGTAAAAATGAGATGTAGAACATGGAGTTTGAAATCCTTGGATCTAATTATGGAAGTCAATTCCACATGTTTTGACGGAAATGGAATTAAAAAAATTTTCAATTCCATCATACCAAACAAACATTCTTCCTAATTTCAATTTCATTTCCATTCCATACTTCTCATTTCCATCATACCAAACGAGTCCTAAAGACCCTCTAAAATCATTAATTTTAATTAAAGACCATAAAATATTGAAATTTCAATTATAGACCATGGTCCTTGCTTTGAATTTTAAAAATATGAATTGTTTTAAATGCCCCTGAAAAAAAAAATCAAGAAATTCAAGTGTCATGTTAGTGTTAAGGATAATCATCCTGCTACAAGTCACCTGTTAAGGATAATGATCATCTGCAATGTTCGCAGCATGACATGAAAATCTTCATCTCTAGGTTCAATTTATTTGCTTGGAATGTGATGTGTCTTGGGCTCCAAGTAGGTCGCTCTGACTTCAATTCATCTAAGAAAACCAAATGATTTAATATAGCAGCAACTAATAGATTATATATACTCGTCAATGAAAACTGCACGCAAGTGGAACCAAAACGTTGAAAGCTCTTGGAGGCTCACTTCTACCAATAGTGTTGAGATTGAGAAAGTGAATTTGCAATTAAAAAAAAAGGACAAGAAATTCACATAAAGGTTGTTCTATGCAGATTATGCCATTGCCAATTGAAACAAGGCTCTCCCTGCATAATTGAACGATATAAGGAATGTTTACTTGTCATGCTCCATTTCACTATTTCCTTTCACTTGCACCAATTAGTCTAAAACTTCATCCCCACAAACTATTCCCTTCATCTTCATATTGAATGTATATAACTTACTTGAAATTGGTACGATAATATATTTCTTAGTACAGCTGCATCTCTTCCCACATTCACCAGTACTTTCTCCATCATCCAAAAATCAATGAAAGAATAAACAATTTCAAATCACAAAGTGATAATCAGACATGGCATAATCAAACATAGCATCTTTGTCCTTCTATACACAGTAATCCTACGGTGATGTGAATTACAAGTTTAATGCTAGTATCAGACTATCAGTTTAAACCATAAGACACGAAAAAATTAGTTCCCGGTACATATCTGACCTCTCGAGTTCATACATTACAGAGAAAAAGTAAATGCTGAGATCCAGCAGCAGCATCGTGGATCAAAACACAGAGCAATAAGTGAAATAGTTTACTCTCTTGTGCTGTGTATTGAACCTATCACTCCACTTGATTTAGATTAAAAAATGACAAAGCAAGAAGCTTTAATCTGCCGTGTTAGCCTTTCCTTCCCCATTAGCATATCAAGTGGCCAACAAAACCAAAAATATATATATAGCAGCAACTAGACTTTATATTCATATATGATAATTGAACATATGATGACATAGAAAGCTAAATTAAAGATTGCAATAACTAGTACTTAACTGAGTTTCTCCATTCCAGATCACATATCCAAGGAACATCAAGGATTATAGACAGTTAGATAGAACCAAAATGTTAAAAGGTTTTGTGAATTAATTTCCACCAAATTTACAGAGACAACAGAAATCTGGAATGAAGAAATGATTCTATTTGAGAGCAATGCTATTCAACCTGGGCGTTCCAGACAGACACAAGGCTCTTCTCATAGTTGAAAACATCACAATGGTCACAAGTAGCTGAACAGTTGAACTTCCTCCCTTCATTAGTAATGAAATTGAACAGATGAAGAATGAGCCTTGGGTCACCGTCCAACAAAGTCCCAAATTTCTCGTCACAGCAGACTATTTCATTCCTCCAAATACATACAGGATTTAAAGAAAATGACAGTGGTCCGGTCCTATATTTCTGAGTAACACTCCAACTCCTCCCAAATTCACAAGCAACCTCCTCCATCACCCATACACCAATGAAATGAGATCCAGATTCCTCTTGAATCACAAAGTGACCCTCAAGTTTGTTCTCATACACACCAAAGTCAAGTGGATAAAGACCGTTTTCAGTTGGGATTGGTGCAAATGAAAACACTTTCGTTGCTATGTCGAAAGAAACTACCGTAGTAAAACGAAGATTCCTTCCTTGCCAAATCAAAGTTCCATTAACATTGACAGCAGGAGATAAAACACTTGTACCATTTAAAGTATCATTTAAAGCTCCCAATTCTAGTTCCTTCCACGAATCTGTACTTAATGAAAAGACTTCCACTCGATTAAGCCTGGTGAAATGATGGACTTGATCTTCCTTCTTTTCACGCAACTCTTGATTATAAAGTCTCACTATCTTGTAATCATTAACGACGGAACTGAACCCAAATCCTAACGTGCAGACGTACCAATAGTCATTCAGTGTGTTGGGTACGTCTCTAACCTCTCTAAGCATTGGGTTCCACAACCAAAGCGAACTAGGAAACATGCCTTCATCATCAGGATAGAGTTCCACGCAAATCAAGCCATTGCAGGAACCAATGATTGTCCAACTACGTCTGAAAGAATCGAAAGTGGGTATGCTCAAAACATCAACGGTTTCCATCGTATGATTAAGCAAGCGCGCGGACGAACGCATATGTTCACAGTTGTATTCGAGGAGAAGAAGGAAAGGGTTATCATGATCAGAGTGGTGGAAGTGTTCAGCGATGAAAGATGGGGTTTTGAAGAGATTTTTCCAATCCTTACACGCACATTGCAATCGAACGATAGATTTGACAGGAAGCCTTTTGAGAATTTTGATGATAATCTCGAATGGCAAAAAGGGTTTGTTGGGCCCCAGTCGCCATCTGCCTGCCGGAGGGAATGAGGGATTCAGAATCCACACTCACGGGGAGAGGAGTGATCAGAGTAGTCAGGGAGTTGACACAAACGAATGCGTTTTGTAATCTTGGATGGCAACTTATAAAAATATACGACAGCTCAGAGGTCTCAACAATTATAATGAATTAATTATGCAACAACGTATTATAAAGAAGATATCGATTTTATGTGAGGATGTGAAGTAATATGAAAAAGATGAATATTCGTATCAATGTGATATTGGATGATGGCTACACATGATGCTTATATTCATAACAATTTTTGCGTCATGTGTTTTGTTGTGAACAAGGGAAAAAAAATTAAAGTCGTTTAATGTGCTTTGGAAATTCATTTTAAGATGGAATCTTCGACTTCTAATTTGCAAGATTGTGCTTTTGGATTGCCTTTGAATTAAAATTACTGTTAAAAAATAATTTTTTAACAAATTTACAAGTTGCAAATAAAAACCACGCTCAATATGTGAGAAGGGATTAGATAAATTTTATCAAAAAATTAAAAATTAAAACGGTTTAAGGGAAAAAATAACCAAATGAATAAGATTTTTTTTTATATTTCACGAGTTTTAAAATTAACCCAAAAAGAAACCTCCATAGGTTATATGCTCATCAATGAAACATTAGGGAGTCATGCAAGCAAATGATTAATTAGGGAGTCAAAGCAGGCAAATGATTGACAAAAGATAATATAACATGAAAATGTTTTGTTGTATCAGCTTAGATAGGTGCAGATAATACAACATGAAAAGGTTTTGATGTATCAATTTAGATAGGTGTGAGTAACTAGCTTGGACCATGAAATAACAGGCGCGCAACTTCTCCACAAAAGAGTGTGCCTTGGAACATTTTATTTATGTACATTTGTTGGAATATTTGAAAAAATAGATGTAAGGTACTTTTTCAAGAGAGAGATAACTAATGAGCTGCTAAAAGATTTACATATGTAACATCTTGAAATTTATTTAAGAATTAAATTAATTTATTAATTAATTAGAGGGTTGAATTAATTATTTGGGTTAATTAGGAGATAGTATTTGGGCTTGAACAGTCATTTAGGCCTATTGGGCCCCATAAATGTTTAAAATAGGACTTTAGGATCTGTGGGATCAAATTAGGCCCAGATTTTTAGGTTTTAGGAAAATTATCCGTTTTGGGCTGTTTGCCATGTTGAACAATATTCCTTGTCATGGTGAGTGTGCCAGAATTTTAAAATTGATTCTGCAATTCAGGTAAAAAAAAAAAAGGCAAAAGAGTTGGGTTTGACAGTTTTGATAGCGGTTTAAGGCTGCTTTACTAAAATTTCAAGTTTGTGGACAATTTTAAAACGTTTTGGGGCTCCTACAATCTTAGGTAAGCTCCATCCCTCCTTCTTTCACCTCTTTTGTTTTCTAGATTTATCGCAAGAGGTAGTTGAGGTCTGAATTAAGGATAGTGTTACAACCACTCCTAGGACTTAAATGAGGTTCACTAATGCTACTTGATGCTCCTATACCTTAGTTTTGATTAATGATAGCTTTAAATACCTTAATGAGAGGTTAAAGATTTAACCAAATATTAAAAAATTGAGTTTAAGCTGATTGGAAGTATTGGCAATGACTATTAAATTTAATGAAGGTTAAATAAACTAAGGAAAATTAGTTTTAGGATTAGACAAGCTTAATTACTCTTGGTGACAAATTAAGCCTTAATTGTGATTGAGAGGTAATTAATGATAATTAATCATTAATATTGTTTTTATGGCTCTATGCATAGAGCACAATACTCTTGAGGTTGAGTTAGTGGGAAACTCTCTCTGAAATTTAAAGTTACACTTTTAGGATAGTAAATTCAAGAGTCGAAGTAACTAAAAATCTTATTATTACATACAATTTTGTTTGCAATTATGATTATTTTAACATGTAATTAATGATGGGGGCGATTGGCGTGAACTTGCTATGATAATGTAATCTTGAGAATGTTGTTCAATTAATGATATGCGTAATTATGGTATTCGATTGATATATGTATTGATATTAAATATATGAAGATTGTACTATTAGTAATAGGCTTGGATTAGCTATGAATGGCTGTTGATGTTATACTAGAAAGCATACTTAATTTGTATATGTTTATATGATGTAGTAGAGAACCTAATTTATTTGCAATGACATGAGCTGTGGTTATATAAGTTCTTTCACTAAAAGTATGTTGGTTATTAGAACATGAATGAGTAGATTGCATATGCATGTTGAATTGGCATTAGCACCGTGGGTGGAAGTTCACACTAGTTTGGTCAAAGGTTAGTTTTAATAAAAGTTCACACGGTGTAATCTCTACTCAGTTTATATTTTTTAATATCTAACTTTTTAAAAAATATTTTATATTTTTTTAACAAAGGTATTGCATATCAAACAAGAGACTAAGCTACTGATTCTATGTGTGTACAAACAAGGGGAAAAAAAACTTATAGAGTTATAAGTTGTTTGTTTTAAAATAAATTAAGACATCAATATTTTTTATAAATTAAAAATTTACATATCTTAATTTAATTAAATAAAAATATATAAAATATATTAAAATAAGTATATAAGTGTTATAGGAGAATAATATGTGAGATTCTTAAAAAAAAAAAAATTTTCGGCACGTCCAATTCAATATTTAAATAATTATATGTACAACTTTTAAAATTTTTCCGCATATTGGGCATCCAATCCAAAATAACTTTTAAGTGTGATGCCCCCGCTATGTATATAGTTGTACAATGTTATGAAAAATATTATAATTTTACTGAATTTTTTGGATACCTCTATATGAATGAATTTTAAACTAAAAATATTAATTTTATTTTTAATAATAAATTGTAATTTATTATTAAATATTTATAATTTGTTAAATAAAAGTTATTATTTTTAAATAAAAGTTGTAATTAAAATTTATTATTTTTAAAAAATTACTTTTTAATAATATAAATTACATTCGCCAAGTTATTATTTTTTATTTAACTCATTTAATTTACAAAATAAAAATTATTATTCTTTAAATAAAAGTTTTGAATGGATCTTTTTTCTAACAACAGAAACTATATTTTGACAAGTTATAATCTCTCATTTAATTTTTGTGATTCATATAATAAAATTTATTATTTCTTAAATAAAAATTATAATTGAAGCTTGTTATATTTTAACAAAATAAAATATTTTTTTACTTTAAAATTTATTAATATAAAAGTTTTCATGGCTTTAATAAAATTATAATATTTTAAGTGATTATATTATTATTTATATAATTTATAAAGATTTTATTCTCACTTTTTTTTAATTTAAACAAAACCATTAAAAAAAATATGTAAACTCAAATTCAATCATGTAAACACTACACAAAGACAAAAGAAAGTATGAACCTTGAAGACAAGTTCCAAATAAATCTCACGCATATTTCTGGATTCAGTTTCGGCGGTCGTCGTGCTCAGCAGTCAGCACCAACCCAATGCTATTGTAAGTTTTAACTTTCTTCTTTTTTTAAACCACAAATAATAATAATAATAATAATAATAATAATAATAATAATATTATTATTATTATTATTATTATAAATAAATATTATAAAATTATTACTTTAAGATTTAATATAAAAATAAATTTAAGTCATCAAAATTTAACCTAAATAATTTATATATAAATTTTTGTTTAAATAGTTTAGAACTATATTAAAAATATTAAAATTCTAACAAAAAGTATTTTATAAAATATTTTGTTATCTTATTGATTTAGCACAATTGTTCACTTATAAGAGGTAATGTTATTTTAGATATGGTTGGGAGTTAAAAATAAGTATTTTTTAACACGAATTTAAATATTAATTTATTATATTATGAAAAACTTGCTTATTATATTAAGTTCAACTCCTATTTTAAATTCCTTATCTCATTTTTTTTAATATTTTTAGTAGAAGTCTTAACTGTTCAAATTAAAATTTTTATTGAAATTGTATAAGGTTAAATTTTAACAAGTTAATATTTGAAGTTAAACATTAACAAACTAGAAAGGAAAAGAAGGTGATCGAATTTCAAGAAATGTTGAGACTGGTGCTTTTTTTTTTTTAATGAAGGTTTTTTTTTTTTTGCCAAATTAGTGAAGATTGAAATGATATAACTTCTGAATGGGAAAGGCGCACAGCAGACGAGGTGAACGAAGGACAAAAACTGACCATATGGTGCAGTTGAAAAGATGTGATAGTGATTGAAAGTTGCATCTCTCGTCAAATCATCCGGATCATATTGTGAAAATTAATACGAGAGGTTGGTGGGATCTATGAGCGTCTGGGACTATATGTGCAAAAGTCTTTCAATTCTGTTTAGTATAATTTAATTTGAGATGGTCTCAGTCTTGTTCAGTCAGTATAATCACTGGTCTTTCAGGATCAAAAAAACTAAAAAGATCAGACTATTTTTTTAGGTTGGACTGAACAAGAGACCAGGCATTCGGACCACTTAGTCCAGTCCAATCCTATTAATTTTTTATTATAATTATAATTAATTTATTTTTGACAAATGTTTAAAGTATAATTAATACTAAGGAGATAATTGCATAAAAATTTATTAAGTTTGTTTCTAAATTGTTATTGTAATATAGTGTTGTTGAATTTTGTTGAGTACTGTTTTTGTTAAAGTTATAAATTTAAATAATTTAGACTATAACAGAAATATTTTTTTTCTTATTGTTAGAAATTATTATGGATTTATTATTATTATAAGTGTTTTTACTATCTTAATTGAGTTTATTATGTTGGAATGGATTATTGTCTCTCATAGAATAAAAAGAGGGACAAAAAGCTAAGTGAGTACTGGACTGACAGGACCAGTCTCCCAATCCTATGGACCAAGTCCGGTCCTGTTAATCTTCGGGTTATCACTAGACAAGACTGGACTACAGGTTGCCTAACCCAGTCTTTTTCATGAAAGAGACCGGACTTCGGGTTAGGGTGAAATCCAGTGCCGTCCTGTCTTTTGTGCAGCCCTACCTCAGGTATTGGCCGAAAAATGGGAAATGGCCTTAATACGAGATGTTGGTGGGATCTATGGTCCCCTTTGAATCGTCCCCTTATCACTTTTGTAGACAAAAATCATCATCTTCTTAATCCTTGTGCATCAGTCAAAGACTTTGTTCTCCCTAGTGGCTTTTGGAATATTAATGCATGGAAATGCTTCCTACCGGATTGGGTCATGAATAAAATTTGTTCTATACCTCCCCCTTATTCCACTAATGAAGATTCTTACTGTTGGAGATCTTCTGTAGATGGCAGGTTCAGTGTAAAATCTGCCTACAAATTTATCTATCATAACAGTGCACCTGTGGGAGATCTCATTTGGAAAAAGATTTGGAAATGGCAGATCTCGAAGAAAATTAAATTCTTCCTTTGGCAAGTACTTCATCAGAGATTAAATACTAACTCACTTAGAGCCAATCTTGGGCTTTCACCCACTGGTGAATGCCCCTTTGAGTGTCATAATGAGGAGAGTGTCATACACATTATTCGCGATTGTCAAATTGCCTAGGATTTTTGGAAACACTTGATTTCGACTAATCATTACTCTAGTTTCTTTCAATGCAATTTGCAAGTTTGGTTCAACTGGAACTCCAAGGACAATCCGGCCAATAATACCTTCTCCAAATGGCCTTGGACGAGAATATTTGGATTGGGATGCTGGCTACTGTGGAAAAATATGTGTAAAGCCATTTTTGAAGGAGCAAGACTCACCGCCTAAGAGCTAGTTCATAGCTGCCTCTTTCACATTCATGAACATGTAGCCTCCGGGAATCTCAAACATGTTGTTTTTCCTAATCTCGTTGTAATGGAGAATACTTGGATGCCACCACCAGAAAATACTGTAAGAGTTGATGTGGATGCTTCAATGTCACCTTGAAAGAATGCCTCATGTGGTGGTTTGATTCGGAATAACAAAGGTGAATGGATCTGTGGATTTACACGTGCAGTGGGAGATGTTCCAATCGTGCTTGCAGAAATGATGGCTATCAAAACTGGACTTGAATGCTATTAACATGATACCACGAGACTATGTAGTAGATTATTCTTGGAAGACTGATATCAATGATATATGAGATCTCATTTACAACAACAGAGAGGTGGAGATTCACTATACTTACCGAGAAGTGCTGCAATGTGCTGATTATTTGGCAAAACATAGCCATCAGACTGATACAACAGTTGAATTCTTTCATGCAATACCACCTGATTTGCACGTAATGTTGCGTGAAGATAGTTCAAATATTATTTAGTTTGTTGTACTCTCTTCAAGCCTCAGGCTTGCCTTTCCATTCAAAAAAAATATTGTGAAAATTAAAAACCAACCCTCATGGGCTTGCTAAAATATTTTTAAACAAATATATACAAAGGTCTAAAAATGGAAAATGTGTGAGGGAAAATTAAATTTTGAGATAAATTAATATTAATAATTAGTAAAATAATTTGTTATTGTTGTTTATTATTAATTTTTTTTTATTATGATTAGATTTGACCTCCCCTGACCTAATGTCTCATCCCGCTTAATGATAGGTTCATTTTTCAGTCACGTGTCAGCAAGTAAAATGAGAAGCTGCGTAGAAATAAAAGTTACTGAAAAGCAAAAAAAATAGGGAAGGAGAAGTAAATAATAAAAAGTACTTCAACCTCAGTTCAAAAATAACCAAAATACACACACACACTCAAATATATATATATATATATATATCAAACAAACTCCAAGATTCAAAGTTCAAACGCATGAACACCAGTTTCAACTTTCAAAAAGTAGCCAGGACAGTTTTCAATACTTTATGAAAGAGACAAGGCAAAAAGATGAAAAGAATGATAAAGTGACCACCGTACTATATAAAAATACTTATTCCCCAAAAATGTTAGAAGTTTTTTTTGGCCAAAAACAATGCTAGAAGTTTGATGTTCGAAATTAGAGATAACTTGAGTTAAGATTAAAGGAAAACTGCAACCAAAATCTCAATAGTAAATTAAAATCAGTTAAGAGTCGCAAAGTTCCTAACACCGCCTGGGTCATCGACAGCTAGTCATCGGAGCTTCAGCTCCGGCAGCATTTATTTCAATAAATATTTGATTTAAATACTTAACGAAAGGTTTGATTCTATAATTCATTAGCCATCTAAAAAGCTACAAGCCCTTTAATTATATCCCTCCGTTTTTATAAATAAAAAAATTATATTACAGAGTTTAAGAAATACTTTTACATTGAAAAAATTGAAAGTATACATGGAAACATTTTTAACAGTATAGACATACAAAGTTTTTGTTTTTTTTAGTAGCACTGGTCAAATTGCATCATTTGAGAGTTAACTTAACATCCTCATCCAGTGCTCAACGCATATAATCAAGTTTAATTTTCTAAAATATAAAGATCAATAATTTATATTCCTATAGTTAAAAGGGACCCAGTTGCTTCAAATCAACATTCAAAAACTGAGAATAAATAAGATCATTAATTTTTCCTTAACAAAATAAAGCTTTAAACCATTCCACTCGAAGGCAATGAATCTAAAATTAAAGGAGAGAATAAAAACCTCTTGTAAACTTTTCCCCTCACAGGAACATCAAGGATTACAGATAGATAAAACCAAAATGATAAAAAGTTTAGTGGATTAACTTCCACCAAAATTAGAGACGAGAGAAATCTGAAATGTAGAAATGATATTCTATTTCAAAACAAGACTATTCAACCTGAGCGTTCCACACAGGGACAAGGCTCTGCTCATAGTTGAAGATATAACACATGACACAATTAGTTGATGTGTTGAGCTTCCTCCTTTCATTAGTACTGAGATTGAACAAATAAAGAACATCATCTCCCAATCTGTCATAGTCACGGCAGATTATTTCATTCCTCCATCTACATATGGGTAGAATAGAAGGTGACAGCGGTCCAATCTTATATTTCTGAATAACTCTCAGACTCTTCCCAAATTTACTAACAACCTCCTCCATCACCCCTACACCTACACCCACACTCATGAAATCAGATTCAGATATCTCTTGAATCACGTAGTAACCCTCAAGTTTGTTCTCGTGCACACCAATTCCAATTGGACAATAACCCCGTTCACTTGGAAATGGGATAGATGTAAACACTTCTGTAGCTATATCGAAAGAAACCAGCCTAGGAAAATGATTTCCTTCTAGATACCAAATCAAATTCTAATTCCTTCCACAAACCTGTACTTAATGAAAACACCTGCACTCGATCAAGCCTGTTGAAATTATGGACTTGATCTTCCTTCTTTTTAAGCAACTCTTGATGATAAAATCTCACTATTTTATAGTCATTAACGATCGGGCTGAACCCAAATCCTAAACTGCAGAAGCGCCCCATGTTAAACTCAGAGGGCCCATAATTTCCTCGTTCACCCTGGCTGAGGGCAAATTCATTCTTATGCTTAAAACAAAAATTATTTACTCAGATGCTATTCTTTTAAAAATATTTCCTTACATATTAGAAATTTAAAACTCGATTGATATCAAACCAAGTTTTAATTTTTTTTTTAATCTTGCAGTACAGAACTCAGCTTATGTTAAACGGAGTTCTATACTTGTATATAAATTAAAAAAAAAAAAAAGCAAAATGTAGGCTCAGGCTACTCTCACTCTGCACCCAACTCCCTCCATCACTGCACGTTCTCCAATAGTAAATATCAATACTTGGTGAGTTGCTTCTTTCGTTCGGCATATGTTTTTTCTTTCCCTTTTTTCTTGGTAAAGGAAGACCCAACAAGGTAATTGAATATATATATATATATATATATATAATAAATAAATAGTATATTATGTGTCAAAAAATAATATATTATTTTTTAATTATAATTATAATAATTATATACTTCAAAAAAATTATAAAATAACTACATAATCAATAGCAACATAAAATTTCATAAATTTAAGTCATAATATATAATTTTAAGGTTATATTGTTAAAGATCATTTCTCACTTCAATGTTTTTCTAACGTCGTCCTATAAGGTGTGGCAGTATCAGTTCTAAATACTTTATTCGTTAAGAAATGTAAGATATTTTTTAAAAAATTTGATGTTAAAAAGTGTAATATAATTTTAGTCTTTTAAAGTATAATTATTATTTTTTACCAAAGCATCCTCATTAAATAAATCACTTTATATTTATTTTAGGATAAAACCTTATTAAATAAAGATAAATATAGAAAGAGAATGTTAGTTTGAATACGAATAATTATTTTATTAGGAAGTGGGATTTGATTAAAAAAATTAAACCTTTAAAATAATATAAAGTGATTTATATTATTCGTCTTCAAACTAATATTCTTTTTCTATATTTATCTTTATTTAATAAGATTTTACCCCAAAATAAATGTAAAATGATTTATTTAATAAGGGTGCTTTTGGTAAAAATAATGATTACACTTTAAAAAATTAAAAATACCTTATATTTTTAATTGATAGAGTATTTAGAAATGATATTGCCCCACTTATAGGATGTTGCGAGAAAAACATTGAAGTGAGAAATAATCTTTAACAATCTAACCTTAAAATTATATATTATGACTTAAATTTATCAAATTTTAAGTTCTTACTGATTATGTAGTTATTTTATAATATTTTGAAGTACATAATTATTATAATTATTTAAAAAATAATATATTATTTTTTCACACATAATATATTATTTATATTATATATGTATTCGATTACATTGTTGGGCCCTCTTTTGTCAAAAAAAAAAAAATAAAAGCATATGTTGAAAGCGAAGGAGGCCACTTACCACGTATTGATGTTTATTATTGGAGAACGCGTTGAGTAGCCTAAGCCTACATTTCGCCTTTTTTTTTTTTTATATACAAGTTCAGAACTTAATTTAGCAAAGACCGAGTTCCGCACTGCAAAATTAAAAAAAAAAAATTAAAACTTGATTTGATATGAATAGAGTTCTAAATTTATAATATGTAAAAAAATATTTTTAAAAATATAATATTTTGGTAAATAATTTTTGATTTGTAGCATAAGAGTCAATTTGCCCATTTTTTGTTAATAAAGTCGCCACAAATTTTAAATCATAAAAAAGTTTCTTAAGTATTAATTAATCTTTTAATAAAATTCTAAACATATAAAATGTGTGATTTTTTTTTTTATAATTTACAACTCTTTATACTTTAATTTACAACTTAATTTTTTAATTTAATTTAAAAACACAATTTTTTTATAAAAACACAATATTTTAACATTAAATTTTATGAGATTATTTATTTAGATCCAAAAATTTACTACTTATTCCCTTTTATTTTATTTAAAGTGCAATTTCATTTACCTTAGTTTATAAGTTGAGTTCCAAATTTTATTTAGAAATTCATAAATAAAATTCATATTGAGATTGTGTTCATTGAAATATAAAGTGTCAAATCATGATAAATAAATACTCCCTTCATCAAAAAATATTTTTATTTTTTTTTAAAAATTGAATGTTTAAAAATGTAAAGTATTTTTGATCTTTTAGGTATAATTATTATTATTTTTAAAGTGCCCCTATTGATAATTAATTTATATTTATTATAGAGTATTTAATAAAAGTAAATATAAAAAGATATGGTTAGTTTAAAAGTATGTAACTATTTTATTGAAAAATAAGATTTGATTAAAAATGATTTATATTTTTGAATGAAGGGAGTATAATATTGTTAATTCAAGGTTAAAATCGTTCAAAATAAAATTGGGATAAAGAGTTATAAATTTGAGAGAGCAAGTTATAATTTTTTTGCAAATAAACATTCAATGTTATAAAGTTCAAATGCTAAAATCGAAAAATTGTATTCTTGAATTAAATTATGAAATTGAATTGTAAATTATATAAAATAGATTGTAAATTTAGAACGTTAAAATTTTCCCAAAAAAATTTAATATTTTAAAATTTGTTGGGATTTAAGTGCGGTAAAATAATTCCTTTCTACTTAAGTAGGATTGTGCAAAAGTATTTTGATTCGATTTCATCTGGCTTAACTGGAGACAACTTGATTTGATCCAAATTAAAGCTAATCTTTCAAGACCAAAAAAATTACAAAAACTAAACCATTTATTCAAATTAAACTGGACAGAAAGGTTGAGTATCTTGATCATTTGATCTAATCCCATTTTATAAAATTATTTAATATAATTTTAATTAATTAATTTAATAATATAAGTTAATTTATAATTATTATTATTATTATTTTATTTATAGTAATAATTAATAATTTTTTGTCTTTTATATTTGAGAAATCATGGATAAGTAATTTTATTATATTAATTAAATTTATTAAGTTAAAATAAGTTGTTGTTTTTCATAGAAAAAAAAAGAAAAAAAGGAGACGTTGACAAGATAATGTCCTATTTTACTTTCGGTCATATCAGCCGTGGACTTTAGCGTCGTTCTCCCTGTTAAGCCATTTCTGGATCAGGGTCTCTTCCTTTCATTTCTTCTATTTTTCTTTACTTCCTCCATCTTCATCATTTAAATTTTTTTATTAAATAATTTTTTTAAATAAAAAAATTAATAAATAATGGAGACAGGAAAAGTGAAAAGAAATGAAAGAAAAGAAAGTAAAGAGACCCATTTCCTTTCTGAAGAGTCTTGTGATTGCAGGCTGTAGCAGTACTCTACTACTTTTAATAATAACAATAATAATAAAAATAATATTATTATTATTATTATTTTCTGCCATTTCTCTCAAGTCTTGTCTTTGCAGGATTGTAGCAACTGTCAACTACTTTCAATATTATTGTTATTATTATTATCCACCATTTGAAGTCTTATCTTTGCAGGATTGTAGCAGTTCTCTACTATTTTTAATATTATTATACTATTATTAGCCATTTGTCACAACTCTTGCTGTCGCAGGACCCTAGTAGTGCTTTACTTTTGATATTATTATTATTAATGAGATCAATGAGATCCACAAACGAAGAATTAATTTAAATTAATACTATTTAAATATAATTTTATGTTCTTAGAATTTCTATGCTTGGATATTAGTGGTTTTGCTTTAGAAATTACGAAGAGGACATAAAAGCTACATAGGGCAGGTACTTTTTCTTTTCCCCAAACAAATTGAATGATAAAGAATGATTAATTTATAAAGTTAAGTGCCTAACTATATTTAGTTGAATATTTTTAAAATTTAAATGCTAGTTTTATAATTATTGGTAGATTTATTATGTAATTTATATATATTATTAAAAATATTGAATTACTTATAAAATATTTAATCATGATTTTTTTAAATAATACTGGAAATCCATTAAGTATGTTCAAAAAGTACAAACAGTCTGAAACTAGCCGTGTTTTGAAAACCGAATAGTCTGATCTGACTGACTATCACTTGTTGATTAAAACGACTTGATTCAATCAATAAGACCAATAAAATAGTCAACTTAAATTGATTTTATTAGTTTTAAAAAATCAGATTTGACTTGAACACTAAAAAAAGTCAATCAGGGTCAAAGTTAAAAAAAATAAAATTAAGTCACTCAAATTGGCATTTTTTTTAATATTTAGTTCTCTTTTATCTTCTCTTATTTCATCTTTAATCTTTCCTCCACATCCTAAACTCAATCTTTAACCTCTCCTTCAACATCTACCTCTAACTCTAACAATTTAATCTTTAACATTAAAACTGAAAGCTTGTGAGTTATAATATAATAGTATACCTTTAGGTCTAATATTTTGTTTCGAGATGGCAAGTTTGTGTCTAACATACTTTCACCTCCAATTTTAGCTATTCAAACTTTTAACTTTTGATGTTGAGATCTAAAACATTATTGATAAATTGATATTTTATTTATATATTTATATATATAAATATTATTTTTATTTAATTTTTACATTATCAGTAATTTGTTATTCTTTTTGATTTGACGTCAAGTCTGAATGTCAAAAAATTGGAAACTAGAAACAAAGCAAAGAGGAAAAAACAAACTATCATCTTCCGGTTAAATCACATATACTCTATTAACCTTCAAATCAATATCTTATTTAATCAAATAACCCGAATGAATTATAAAACTTTGATTGAATTTGGTATCTTGAAAAAGTTTATCAAAAGCTAAAGTTGTTGAAAAAGCAATTTTTTTGGATGTAGTGGTCGCTCTTAGGATCCATTTGGATTTCAGTTGGGTATAATAGATTGTGAAAATAATTGATTAACTGATAGATTTTAATCAGAATTGATTATGTTATAATGCAACCTGTTTGGATATTGAAATTGATTTCAACTGTGCAAATTATCATAAAATACATTGCTTTTTGAAATTAAATTATTAATAAAGTTGCATTTAATATTAATAAATTTGTTAAATTTTATTTAACACAATTATGA